GGGGCTACTTATGAGAAGGCATAATGGCCACGACGGCTGTGTCTGAGGTCGGGCTTGGGGCCTGGGGCCTGGGGTCTGGGGTCTGGGTTGCAAGCAAATGCTTTTTTATCTTTGTTGTGCTTGTTTGCTTGTTTCGCTTCTGGCGGAACGAAATGCGTGGACATTAAATATGCATGAGAGGACATTACATATAAATAAATTTAGTAACAGTTTGTATGCAGAACTGGCAAATGCATTTATCGATGATGATGGTAATGATGATGCCCGCTTGAAGGTGTCGAGAGCTTGCTCACACGACCTGGCTCGACCGGACTGCACGCAATCGCCACAGCCGACCGCCGTGAAGCCATTTGACAGGCCCCCAGAGGGGCACACACGGGCACAGAGGGCGACAGCCAGGCACCTGGCATAGAGTACGCACGGAGTCTTCTTCCAAGCCCCTACCTCACCCGAGCAGTTGGGTTTTGGCTCATGCCAATTGCCTCTCGGCTTTGGTCAACGGCGTTGTGCATTTTAAATATGAGAATCTCTCTCTTTCACTCTCTCTCTCTCTCTCTCTCCCTCTCTCTCTATCTCCCGCAATGCTGTCAAGAATTTTGCTGGCAGCTTGACACCCAATGCTATGCCTCACTGTACCAACTGCCTCTCTGTAGCCCCACAAGCCTGTCATCGGTTGTGTTGTCGTGTAGCCTTTAAATTTCAGGTACGACAATATATGCCACGATTTTATGGGTTCCACGTAGCACGCGCGCCTGTCAGCGATTTGGGCATTGTCCTCTCATTGTGTTTGAACATTACGGGGATTGGCCTGCCACAGGACAGGACAGGACAGGACAGGACAGGACAGTTGCTCTAGCGCTTTCGGATCAATTCAATAAGCGATCGGGCTAACTATAAATCTATCATAATTTGACATTAATTGGCTCCTGCTTAAAAGATTTAAAGTTACGAAAAAAAAGAGCCGCATCAATATTTGTCTACAACACAAAACTGTTGGCATAAAATGTTATATTATATTATTATTATATTTTCAACTAAAAAAGTGCTAAACATTCGAAAAGTTCGAACTTATGCATGCCCAAATTTAAGTAACTCTTGATGAACATTTGGTAATAAGAACTTACAAATTAATTCTCATGTTTCTATCTATGTACCTTTATATCTATCTATTTATTAAGAAACATTAAGATAGGTGAGAGTGCAGGCTCAATGAGGTATATTTAATCATATAATACGTTCATTTATATGTATTTAACAAACAAAAATATGTTGTAAAATAAACAGATATGTGAGATTAGGGAAGCTTGTCCATGCTGAATTTGATATAAATATCTTGGAAAACAGAATATTTTGCCGCACATGAACATTCTTATGGGCCGATCCTTCCCATGACAACTATATGAATTATTTGTTGTTGCTCAAATTTTGATGATAAGTAAGGAGCTTAGTGAAACTTATAAATGTCTATTTGCAGGTGGAAAAACCAGATCAGATAGACTTTAGGCCGAGTTTCGTGACAATTTTTGCTGAAGCATCGAACCTGAAAGACCGGGATTCCAATCTTGAAGGGAATAGAGTTGCGAATGAGATATATTTGTGATCTGCTTACTGAGTCAATAAATCTCTAAGAGCCTTTGGCAAAGCAAAGAGGAAGTCCTGCTTGAATTGATTCAATGCAATATTATACCAACGTGTTATAGTATATGTAATCCGATAACTCTGACATTAGACATTTCTTTTTTCATAATCCAATTTTAAGTATTGATCTGATATTTTCAGACTGACGGAATTTTATTTAAATGACATTTTCATTTCATTTTGGAAAGAAAACAATATATCTTAATGCTTCACAGACTGATTAATAGAGTGCAGGTGAACAGTAGATCAGGGCACAAGGTCAGTAATGCGAAATGTAACAATTATTTATAAATACTTGCGGCAACCTGGTGCAATTATGAATACATTGTGACAAACTTGGTGTCACTTGGTTAGTTGGCTATCGTAAATCATCTACATACGATACGATACGATACGATACGACGAGACATGCTCTACAGAGACGGGTATAACACTTTTAATAATGTGTCGCCGTATTTCTGTGCTCGTATGTGGCATTGTATGGAGATAAGTTCCTCGGTGCCCGCAACGCGTTCGCTATAAATTATAGCAACAGGCTGGCTGCAGCAGCTCGGCTGCTCGGCTGCTGTTGATTTTTATCAACGTCATCAGCTTAATTGCCTCACTGTGCTGCGGCCTGTGCCTGTCCGACATAGTTGGTTATGGGCCGCTTTTGCAATTTTATCTAGAAAATGTTGTGTGGTGCGCGCAGTACTTGCAATTATTAATGAAATATTGCTGTCAGTAATTATTTGTTATAAATTTGCATAGATATTGCAATTTGTACACTTCACTCGCAGTTCCAGCTCAACTCTTACCCTTCCTCCCAGCCACTCCACCAACAACATTTTTGTATCCCGCCCCTTGCTTTCTCTCCTCCCGCGCTCCTACACAGTCCGCAGTTTGCTTAAGTCAGCGGCATTATTAATGACAATGTAAGAGCATGATAAATATCGTTGACACAGACGTTTGAGTTAGCTGCTTGTTTATGTATATAATATACATATTTATATTTATATAAACAAGCAGCATATTTATATATATATAATATTGCTGCTATTTAATTATTGTGTTGTGTAGCAAAGTCGTTTCTGTCGTATACCATTAATTTTGTGCCCGCCTAATTTACTTTAATTTTAAAGATAAAATCTTAAAACTTAAAATCCAATACAATTAAAACTACTTTAAGAAGCCTATTTCATGAAAAATCTAAAGAAACCAGATTTAAAGATACATAAGTTGAGAGTTTGCAACTATTTATGATACTTATAACAATAATAAAAATAGATTAAATTCTATATAACAATACGTAATCAATGCATACGCATATAGATATTAGACTCATAATTATATCCTGAACCCTTTGACAATATTCTTCTATGAAAATTTATGCAAGGGAGAAGGCAGAAAGAATCAAACCCTTATAAAATATAGACATGCAATTTCGATTGTGTGTAATCGATAAAAGTCGATAACACATAATCATGTCGATAATACGCTAATAAAAACTAGAGTCTCCAATTTTGACATTTTGCTTCTCTTTTAGTCTATGCTGATAAAGTATGTCGATTTTTTTGGATACTTCTCACGCATGTTTTTTTGCCAAGATATGAATTCCTTTGATATAATAAGATCAACTTTAGAAATTTCCCTCAATATCGTTTAAGAATCAAAGATGTTATTAAACAAAGTATATTGACAGAATTAAGACAGACATTCAAAATGGTAAAGAATTATAAGTAATGATTGGTGAAAATGTACGTAACAGACAGAAGGAGGCATCTCCATGTTCCATTCCATAAAGCTGAGTCGATTTAGCCCTCCCTCCCTGTTTTTCCGTCAATATGAAAATACGCAACAACAGATTTGTCAATTTTGACCATATCTCGTCACTTTTATAAAATATGTATAATAACACATTGGACTTGGTTTTTGGAGCATAATTCAAAACTTATCAGATCTAGATATATCAACATTTAGTAAGTAGGGTCAGTAAGTAAGTGTATTGCATATACAGTTTGGAAATATTTTTATGTTACTTAAATTTTTATTTTAAATAATCCAAGTTATTCCCTTTACCCATTACCCATTGAATAGGTAGAAACGTAATTTCTAGTAGAAGAATTCTGAATAATAAATAGATAAATGCCAAGCAAGCTTTAAATTCAACAAAGTGCCAAATAAATGTTGAGTATAAGTAACTAAATTAAGAATGGTGTATTCACAATTTATGATTATTACCTGCGAAAAATGTTGTCGTTTCTCAAAACTATGAAAATCCATCTAATTTGCATTTACAAGCGAAAATTCGCATTTGCATGTCAAGATTTATAATATAAATTATAAACCCCCAACAAGTTCTATGGCAAATGCGAAAGCGTCGCAAACTAATCTGGTAAAATGATTTAAAATAAATGGCAAAATTTGTAAACAATTTGCGGTCATTTTGAATGCCCATGCGAGACTCTAATATTGAAATTACAATTTGCAAATTAGTCACGAGCTGCATAATTATAATATACTATAGCTTCATGCGGGTAATCTATCAGTGAGATTATTTCTTGATTGTCATGATATTTTGGCAATTTACATAATTGAAATAATGCATATGTGCGACTTTAATCCCACACAAAACACAACTGATTACCTCTTGGTATACACAGATACTTCAAATTCATTTCTAAACTGCAATGCTTGCAATTTAGAGATGGGCGTAAGGCCAGTTCGATCGTGCCAGTAACAGTTTCCAAATCCGAACTGCTGGACATCCCTGAACAGGACATATGCGTGAGTTAGCATTAGGGCGAGGTATCTAAATAATAGTCTTCATGTCGAATGTCTCTATATATAAAACTGTTTGTCCTGATAGACAGACTGACTTGTTGACTTATTGCCCTTGACGCACAGCCCTGAAGTATTCACTGTAGTTAGTGTAGACGGGAAATTCCACCCGTAAGTGTGGAAAATTCGGGAATAACATTTGTATAAAACTTTTTTGCGTTCCAGCCGATCGACTTCCAGCGCAAAGATCTTTCAGAGAATTTATTATATACGCAAGGCGTATAACTATTTTGAATTTATTTAACATCTCTAGATTTTATAATCTCTATCAAGATACTCATCATAAAATACAGACTAGAACAACATGTGAACATGTAACACGATTGTTCAGTCAACAAAAACTTAAACCAATTTTGTAACTATATGTAGCCCACAGTCCCTGACTAACTGACTGACTGAAATCCGGAAAGCTAAATTATTTATTCCTTCGCTAACTGTGAGCTTTCAGCATCACTCAACTGATACATTTTTTATGAATGTCGTATTTGAATTTTTGTTCGATCTGACTGATATTTGAATATACATATATCTAAAAATGTCATTTGAGAGGCGGTACAAAATGAATATATAAAATTTGAAGACAGAAAATCAGAGAATTTAGTCATAGAGTACACACATTATTTTGAAAAAAAAATGAGCTTATGTATAAAAACTATTGTAGCAACATTTTGCAATGATTTTGGCATGTCGTGACTGAAAAATCCGTCACGCGTACATCTCTAAAGTGAGCACAGGTCCATAATTGGTAACTGACAGCAAGCACACACAATATGCTCGAGCACATACGTATGAATGTATGTACATTTGTACATGTTCTATATGGAGGGACTGTTGCGAGCAATGCCGAATGTTGAATACCGAATGCTGACCGCTTTACCCAGGGCTAATCGTCTGAAGTAATTCCCCAGCAAAAACTGCCACTCAACATGCATAATTTAGGTAACAAATGATAACTCGAAGAAATGTGAAACCATGCATAAATTCACATCGCTTACAAGTGCAGGCTGCAACCGCACTCAGGTGAGTAGCCATCAGGAAGGACTTCTAGACTGGCATACTGGCAGAATGGCTGGCTTTAGAGTCTGACAGAACGGCAGACAGTTGCAGACGAACTGCCTTTGATTTATTACAGTAGAGTTAGTGGAAGAAGCAGGCGGAAGGTTACTCATCAGCAGCTGCAGTCAGCTTTGGCTTCGACCCATAATTTATTAACCAACAACGTGCTGCAGGTGACCAGGGGGGCGGCGGCAGGGAACATCCCACAATGCTGGCCCTTCAAGGAAAACTCGTCCATCAGACTGTGAAGAGCAGAGGGAGGAGGTTGTCAATGCGGTTATAACATAGTGAATTGATGATTCTAGAATTTGGGGCTGAGAATTATATATTAAAAGAGTCAAGAGCATGCATTATCCAGATCTATTGTATCTAACTATGAGTCCAACAATTTATTTCAGCTGGCACTCGTACATAAATCAGGTTGTTTGAGCTTGGAGCTGACCTAACGTGTGTTTATTTATACAGCTTGCTATTCAATTTAATTTATTTCAATGTTTGCATTGCTAAAGCATTGCTATCATTTAATTAAAGCAAATAAAATGCAACGAGCGTGCTAATTAAATGCATTATTAATTTGTAATCAATTAAGTGAGTTACGCACCAACAGACATTGCAGATAGCATGTGTTGGTAATTGCATTTTATTATTGAACTGGAGCTGGAGTCAAACGAATGCAATAAGTTCTTAATACTCAAGTAGTACTCAGGAGTGTCTAACACAACAGTCAATTACGCTTGTAGAACGTGTCTGTAAATTATTTTTCTTTATAATGTAAAAATGCAGTTTTAACACAGACATTAGATCAGAAATTAAGATATCAACTAGCTTACATTGTATTACCATAAATAATTGCTATAAAATTATAATTTTGGTAATTCTCTAATTCATCTCTCGTATAATAAATGACAGTAGTAAATTTCCCAAAACTGGCATAGAGACCTAGAATATTAGTTAAAAGTTCCTTAATCCCCAATAATGCACTTGTAAGAAGTTGTGTTTCAAGTTTATCATCAATTTTATACTCGAATATGCATTGATATGATGCTAATAAAAAGGCGAAAGAGGCGGGGCCGCACGACATACCATGTACATTACTCTTTCTAAATGCTCGACATCGTTTAACATGTTCCTGGAATTTGGTGGGTTCCTTTTATGCCGGCAATGCGCTCCAATGCGGTGGTCACATCGCCATCCACTGTTGCCGTGTTAGTGCGTGCTTTTTAGATATTGTCTGCTCTTCGGGCTCTTTCGGTCTGATTTTAGTGTCCCAGGACTGGCTCTGTTGTTGGCACTTATTTGGCGACATTGTCATCGATATAAAACGGGCTTTGTTTGTCCACTGGTCAAGGCATCGGCATCGGCATCGGCATCGGCATTGGCATCGGCATCCGTTGCGCATATTTCGAATAGTCCATGCCAGCTCTTTTCTCCTACAGCGGGGTATATATTTGTGTGTGTGTGTGTGTGTGTGTGTGTGTCCGATTCTGTGGTCGGTCTGTCTGTGCTTCTGGGCCTGGTGTCTGATTCTGTGTCTCTGGGCTTTGGCATTATCAACTTGTGTGCATCAGTATTTGGTTTCGCGTGAAATTCACTCACGACTTGTAATTATTTAATTTTATTGTTTGTCTTACGCTACAAAATCAGCAAAAACGACTGCAAAATCGGAGCTTACACTTTCAAGCTGCCTGTCGCAGCAAGATTTCTAAGTATATCTGGTCAATTGTACAATAGCCTTAGGAATTGCACTGAGCTGGGGCGTCATAATCTTTAGATGGTTAAGCTTCATTAGGCTTTTACAGATAAAACACAGTCAAGCCAAGCGAACTTGTTATTATGTTTAACAGAGATTTCCTGCGATTAGTCGGGCGTTCATTAATCTCAGACTACAACTCCAATATTAAACAAGTGGTTCTCGTCGGTAGCTCCCGACTAGGGGATACCCTGAACCCTCTTCTTCCAACATCAAATGCATTTAAAAGCTATCTATTTTAGAAGCTATATGTCAAGTTTGGTGACTCTAGCTCTTATTATTTACCAAAATTGCCCAAAAAACAGGATATCGATATGGATTTTTATCGATTGCTTGGAAACGGAGTAAGTTATCGATTATCGGAAAAAAACTCGAGCTCGATCTAAAAGTTTAAGTCAAGGTTCTTATATCCTTGCGTTCATACATACGGACAGACGAAATTTATGGCAGACAGACAGACGGACATGGCTAGATCGACTCGGCTATTGATGCTGATCAAGAATATATAAACTTTATGGGGTCGGAGATACTTCCTTCTGCCTGTTACATACATTTGGATTTTGCACAAATACGATAAACCCGTATAACCATTTTTAATGGGTTCAGGGTATAAAAATGCTGCAAAACCTCTCTAGTGCAACCTTCATTTTGCGCATTTGTCACATATGCTTGCAAAAAAAATTAAATTTCCCTCGATATGCTCTTTGTTGTATCTATCGGCCCTTAAGTATTTTGCGCATACATAAATTATTGAAATTCAAATCATTTTTGCACAGATGCAACTAAAGGCTGTCCACAAACAAAACTCAATTGTCTGTCAGCATTTATAATTTGTATATGCATTCGTTGGAACTACAAATAAATTTACGATTTTTTCAAAAAAACCTGCACACACTACGCATATTTTAGCAATTCCATTTGAATAATTTACTGTAGTCATGGTGAAAAATTGTTGACCTGTGAGGAAAATGCTAAATAATGTAAGGCATTCAAATTGCAAAATATTTTCACTTTTTTAAGGAATGCATCAAATTATTTCACTGGCATATGCAATTTCTAAAATCCTTAAAAAAAAAGAATGAACAAGTAGCTGTTGCACGCCGAAGACTAAATACCCTTCTATGTATATGATTTGCAGATCTTATGAGTTCTTGCTTTATATCAATATACATCTAAGGAGCATATTGAAATTGTGATTGGAAGGCGGAATATATAACCTCCATTGGATCGTAGAAATCACCTTCGACATGTTAATGCCTCCTACAAAAGTATACTGAAGATTTTTGAACTTTCGAAAGTTATTAAGGCACGCAAATAAAGTTTGTATGATTTTGTTTTCCCAAGAAGATCAAATCTTGTGGTACTTGAAATAAAAGTCGTGTATTTTTTAAACGTTTTATTATAAGCTGTTAGCACAAATGTCAAAATTAATTACTTATGTCACTAGCAACAAATCATAAAACATAACATTTCAACATTATTTATAGCGCAAGACAATCAAAATGGCCCCCAGTTTCTTTGATCTGCGGCGACGTGTGGCCTTTTTTTTTTGCGCTGCGCTGTCAAAAAGGGGTAACCGAAATTTATGTGACACAAATATTTGGCCATCAAAACATCACTCAGAAAATGATTTTATTGTGTGCGGAGGTTAAGACTCTTAATGTCTGTGGACTGCCCAATTTGTTTGAGTAAAAAATAATGAAAATGTCTTTTCCAGACATTATTTGAGTGCTAGCATATATACTTATATATAGAGAGAGATAGAGAGAGAGATTTTCATTTGTTTTTAATATAAACCTTGTCATATGCGTGTCTCTCTATGCATATAAATTCATAGCTGACAAATTGTTGGCACAGCTGTTTGTGTTTCAAATAAGCAGGCGGATTTTACTTAATGGCCCCCAACGGTTTCACTTAAGTTGTTTATGGCTTTTGTGTGTGGGCATAGAAATTCCAACCTGATCTCTCCCCACATATACCTCCCCCAAAATTATATATATAAGAATATATATGTATGTGTACGACGAACATCATATCATAAAATATTTCTTAAGATTTAAAAAAATATTCTACATGATAGATTTAAACATATTTAACACGAATAATACGCACTTAAAATAGTTCCCAAGGGAATCGTAAATAATCCCCCCGTAATCCGCAACAAACTATTTGGCAATAAAATATTGTCAAATCAAAATGTTACTCGGCTTTAAAGTAGACTACTTCTCCATTCGGAAAGATATGCATTAACACCAAAAGTCAGTTAAATATTTCAAAAAAGAAGACTTAATAAAACATTATTCGCCCTCTATTCATCCGAGAACTCGCTGGAGTATTTACTTACGATAAATAAGAGCAGCTTCTGTACCCATTAAATGTTTTGAGGATTTTGAAAAGTATTTTGACTTGACATGAACTCATATCTTAAGAAAATAATGCCGCAATATTCATAAATCAAGAACACTAAATACTTTGTATTTCATCAACTAATAATCCGCAGGGTTAAATATGTGAATGCATTGAGGCTAATTTGAATTTTGTTTTGTTTTTTGTTAAGAATAGGAAATTCTAGTCGCTTAGCTCATAAATAAGGCACATCTCATACTTAGCATTTATGTTTAAATTTAGGCAGAGTGAAGTAATGTGTACAAAAACACATATTTGAAAAACAAATAAATAAGAATCTTAAGCTTTTCAACAACGCCATCGCCGTTGTTCCTCATACCATGAGGAAAAGTATTTTCAAATTAATTTTTATTAGCGGGCGGCTAATACACAAGCCCGAATATACTCACACAAACCTCTAGATTCATGTCTTTCGAGCAAGCATAAATCAAGTCAACAGTAAAATAATCTATTTATATATACGTATACGTAAATATATATATATATATTTTTATTAGCGTGTCGCGACATTTTTCGTAGAATATAATTTGGCCACTATTTACCCATTTCACTCTTGAATCTGAATTTCTATTCGTGTGTCTTTCAATTTAATTTATTAATCGAGCGTGAATATTGTTGTGGGTGGTGGGAAACGGCAAATGTGTCCGTTGGGGAATTTTGAAATTAACATTTTTCTTCATTGCTCAATGAGCACACAAATTGAGGTGTGGGCAGGCCGTGAATTGGACGACTTGTGAGACTGGCCATTAACTATGCCAGCTAATGAGTGCAAACAAATGACAAACAGTGCCAGATTCTTAAGTGAACTGGTTAATAGGGGCACAAATTGATCTCAGATATTTGCAATAGCATTGCAATAACATTTATGAAACACTAACTGGTGATTCCCGCTTTTGATCTGTCCAAGTTTTTCCATCTAAATTTTATTAAAAATTATCCACCTATTTTCCATAGATTTCGCCCATTTTGAACATAAGAAAATAAACATTCTTTTGATTGTATATAATTAATTTTTACAAAAATCTTTAAGAATTACTTAGCGGCGGATCGGATGGTAAACATAAATTTTCATTCAACCTTTTTCCACAGCTGTAGATTTAATTTCCAAAATGACCAAAAAACACACATTAAGCCCGAAACCATCGACCAAATTTTCGATACCAATTTGCTTCAAAGACGCTGAACATCTGGAAAGAATACATT